ATAAATTAACGAAATTATTTCCAATTAGACTAATGCTGTTCATTCAACAGCATTTTTTTCTCAATGTATGAAAGTTCCATAAAATCCACATCCACTTTGTTAGAAATCTAATAAAGATCTAATGGAGGTCTTTAATAGAATATATCATATTCTAAATATTTAAATATACTCATAAAATTAAACAAAATTCATTAATAAAATTTATAAATATATAACTTATAAATATTTTTGATATTGAAAAAGAAAACTTATTTGTATATTCATTTTCATCTGTATCTATAAATATCTGATAAATGTTTGTGTGGAAGTTTTTAATTTTCTGTTATATATAAAAAGATAAAATTAGATTAGATGCTATACAAATACAATTTGAAATTTTGCTTTGTACCATTTTATAAATTGATAATTAAGTAATTAGTAAGTAGTATTAAGTATTAAGTAATTAAACTAATTGAAGTATGAACAAAGTCACCTTTGATAGAATACTTATCTTTGGGATTTTTTCTACTTTAAACTTTCTTCTATTTAAAATACATATTATACATATTATTTGAATAACTTTTGTGTAGAAAAGTTATCGCAAGTGGTGAAAGATATATATTAAATCTGAATTTCAATTTTGATACAGACTTGTATAAGTATTCTTTATATTATATCTAATAATCGCGTCTGTTATTATATATTTATCAACAATATTATTAGCTAATTTTTTCTCGCACATGTGAGTTAAAAAATAAGAAGTAGCATATAAAAATCAGTATAAAAGATGTGCTCTAAACACCCTGTTACATGTTACGACCCTTATATACTGTGATGAAAAATCAAAATCAATCTTTTCAAAAATTAATAAAATGTATTCATTTATTTTATATGTACTATATACATAAACATATAGTTAAGTATATGTATAAGCAAAAAAGACTACCAATTAAACAATAAACATATTTTATTTGTATAAATAATAAGAAAACAAATTTTGATTTCATTAAGTCATCTTTAACTGTAATAAAACATCTTTTTGAAAAGGACGCAAAGGAAAATATAAGCTATTACAATAATTGTTTTGTAAAACAATATTATTTTAATTAAAATAAAGATTGTCAAAAATAATATTTAACAAGGGAATTAAATAATCTGCAAAAGGAATATTAAACTGCTCTGCAAAAAAGATGGCTAACTTTATTTCACATTTTACCTTATCTGCATGCAAAATATCGCTTTTATTGCTATCACTATTAATGTCAAGGCTTCGATCTCTTTGATCCATTATTTTCATATATTTTGCTTTTCGCGAATGCCGAAATAAATTTGCTCTGACATTTTATAGTAGTATTACGTGAAATACAAAGAGTTTTACTTCTTGCAGGATGAGAGGCCAACCATCTTTTAAAAATATCTTCATTCAGCCACGCATTACGAAATTGCCTGATCGTTTTTCTTTTAATTGAGTTTCTTTTATATAAATTCATATTTAAATCATTTATTCATATATATATATATATTGATTGTATGCTTTCTTACCTTTGTTTACCTTTAACCTCACTAACTCGATGTCCGTCAAAATTCATCCACGCCGCATAACCAAGCATAACGTGCATTCGTGATGTCTGTTTGCGATGCTGTGTGGCTAGCTGGATTTGCTATCAAAACGTCGGATGCATGCGCATTAAGGTACATTCTCAAGTTCATACAAAAGCTCAATTCCGTAAAGCGCATATGCGCACATTTATCTATAGTTCATGTCACGTATACTGTAATAAAATGCGCGCATATGCGTTTTACAGAATTCAGCCAAAGTCTGTTCTTTTCGGTTGAATTTGCACAATTCATTTTTCTTCCTTTTCTTTCCATATTGCAGGGAAAAAGAGAAAAGATAAATTGTGCAAGAAGTTCAGCTGAAAAGAACAAACCTACAGATTACCAATTAAAATTGAAATTAGATTAAAATTTAGTCACTCAATTAAAATTCATGAATTTGAAATTAGTTTTTTTGCGATATAAGACTCGGTTGTTCCACTTTAGATAAATTTATGTGATGGATAAAGGATAAAGCTATAAATAAGAAAAAAAGAATGCGAAGAAATCAGGATTAGCGGGATTTATCAAAAAATGGAACAATCCATCCTAATTCCAATTTCAATCTTATCCTACAGTCTGATGACAGGTTTTAGAAGTGGAAAAATTGCAGAATTTGACGTTTGACAACCAAAAGTTGATAAATTAATATTTATCAACTTCAAATTCTGCAATTTTTCAACATTGATAAATTAATATTTAAACTGATATATGTTTTTTTAAGCTAATATATATTTTTTATTGTAAGCTATTATTTCATGTGTGATATAACAAAGTTTTCAAAATAGCGTTTTTAACTGTAATGAATTGACTCAACCCGAAGTGAGTTAATGATGTCACATGCTAGAAACTAATTAGAATCTGAAATAGAGCATGTTATCATCTTTAAGTTATCACCTCGAGTTGAGTTCAAACTCACTGCAGTCGAAAACACTAAAGATGTTGATTGGCTATAGAATAGTGAAAGTTTTGAGTCTCTAGAAATTCTCTATCATATATCCAATCAACGCTTTCAAAAATTTAATCGTACAACACATGAAATATCAACCTTGGCTTTATCAGTAAAAACTTATTGCTTATTCTTCGTTATCATTTTCAAGAATATTCTGTATACAATTAACTGGTATTTATTGCTTGCAAAAATTAGCAAAAATTAATGTTTAATACTCGCTGATAATTGCGTCGATTTTTCTAGAACACGGGAAAAAACGGTGAGTATTCGCTAAATATTGAAATATTTTATTACTTGTGCAGTGAGTGAATGTAGTCGAATGTTGTTAATTAACTATTATCATCCATGTGACAAAATTCCTCTAAGTTCATCATTAAATACGCAAACGTTGCAAGTAAGTTACATATGCGCACTGTAAGAATAAAGAAGGTTAGTAGAAGAAACGATTTAGACGAATATACCTTATTTGCAATAAGAGAACACACTGTGCTATTTAGTTCCAATGTAGCCTAAGTTATCCTGTTTACATAGTATTAAGATCATGTATTAATGATTTATTTAAAAAATGTAATTTGTCTTTCTAAAAGTATGTTCTATTTATTGGATACAGGCATTTTATTATTTTTGTTGCATTTATAATCTTTTAGATAGATTTTTTAAAGAAATGTTCTAAATAAACTATTTTTATATGAAGGAATTATGCAGAATTATGCTGTTGCAGGTAACGATGGGTATATTGGAACTAAAGCAAAGTTTAACCGGGCATAAAGGCAGGGTATGGAATGTCTGTTGGCATCCTAAAGGTATAAATCTTGCGTCTTGTGGCGAAGACAAAACAATTATAATATGGGGATTGGAGGGACCCAAGTGGGTTACGAAAATGATCCTTACTGAGGGACATTCTAGAACCATTAGAGAACTGGCTTGGTCCCCCTGTGGTAATTATATTGCATCAGCGAGTTTTGATGCTACTACTGCAGTGTGGGATAAGAAGTCAGGACAATTTGAATGCAACTCAACGTTAGAAGGACATGAACATGAAGTAAAAAGTGTTAGCTGGTCAATTTCTGGCCAATTACTCGCCACATGTAGTCGAGATAAATCTGTATGGGTATGGGAAGTGAACGATGATGAATATGATTGTGCAGCTGTCATTAATAGTCATACTCAAGATGTAAAGAAGGTATGTTGCAGATTTATCTATTGAAAAATATGATTTAAATATATATTTATTTAGAGAAATTATTCATTCTATTAATTTATAAAGAAATCTTATATCTATAATATAATATAATATAATATTTTTATTTTATTAAATATAATATTTTTATTTTAGGTGAGGTGGCATCCACATGAAGAAATCTTAGCTTCTGCCAGTTATGACAATACAGTAAAGATATTTAAGGAAGATATAGCCGATAGCGACTGGTCATGCATCGCAACCTTGTCATCTCATACATCTACGGTGTGGAGTCTTTCATGGGATGCAGTCGGTAATCGAATAGCAACATGCAGTGATGATAAAACTATAAAGATATGGCGGGAATACAAACCTGGAAACGACACAGGCGTCGCTACACCAAACAACGAATCAGTTTGGAAATGCATTTGCACACTGTCGGGATATCACACAAGAACAATATATGATATCGATTGGTGTAAGATCACAGGGTTACTAGTGACAGCATGTGGTGACGACATTATTAGGATATTTAAGGAGGACGATAATTGCGATTCACATCAACCAAATTTCACACTGATCTATACAATGGACAACGCACACGCTCAAGATGTTAATTGTGTACAGTGGAATCCTACGGTTGCTGGACAACTCGCATCTGCAAGCGACGACAGTACAGTGAAAATATGGTTTTACAGCGAATAAAATGTATACAATTGTAAAATATCTACTTCTGTTTTATTTCATTTCATTTTTATACTTAACAATAATAATTAACTAGATAATAAATAATGTTTGTTATAAAATTAAGAGTTATTATTATCTTATCAAAAACAACACGCGGAAGGAAGAGAAAGAATTTATTTTATCTAATTTTTAACTTTTCGATATATAACAATAGAATCCCAAAATTTTTTCTTTTTTTACTTAAAATATTTAATTTATGATAATAATATGAAATTTGGCTTAGAATAGCTGAAAACACACTGTCGGGATACCACAATAGCTTTATGTCTCTAGAAATTCTATATCATGTATCCAACGCTTTCAAATAATTTATCATACAACACATGTATCCACCTTAGCTTTATCGGCTAAAAACTTACTACTTATTCTTCGTTATTATTTTCAAGAATATTCGATATATACTTAACAATATATAATTTATGCAAGAATTAGTAAAATTAGTGATTAATATTCGTTGAAATTTATTATTTTCAATATAATTTGAAAACTCACCGTTTCGATTGAATTAGAAAATTCGATTTTAATTTTGTGACAAATAAATATTAAATTTAAATATCTGGTTGTTTACTGGATGTAATATTTTTAATACCTTGCGCATTTTAAATATAAAATATAAAATATTTATAATCACCTCTTTATTTTAGGGTATATATAAATGCTAAAGCGTTTGTACAACGTAGGATTATCTTGTGAGAAATTTTATTTCCAACACAAATATATTAAGCAATATAAGGTGATACATACAATAAATCGCAATATGAATACAACTATAGAAACTAAAGGCTTGCTCGTGAAGGATATTGTAACTGCAATAAATAAATTTGCGGATACATCGCTGGCAGCTTCTTGGGACAACGTTGGATTGCTGATTGAACCTACAGAACCAAACGTTGTGTCGCGTATTTTATTGACGAATGATTTAACCGAAGATGTTATGGACGAAGCCATTAAATTAAAAACCAATTTGATCGTTACCTATCATCCACTAATATTTGCACCATTGAAATCTATTACAAATCGATCTTGGAAGGTATAATAAAGTCCTACGATATAAATTTTATCAAAATAATATTGTAATCTGATTTTTATTTATTTATACATAATAGGAACGAATAATAGCGAGATGCCTAAAAAACGATATTGCTGTTTTTTCTCCACATACTAGTTTTGATGCCATAAGAGGCGGAGTTAACGATTGGCTAGCGGAAACTTTTAGTAAGAAATAGATTTTTTACAATATTTTTGTTGTTAAAACAAATAATATCTTATCATTTAAACATTATATTTGAAGAGCTCAAAAACAGTGAGATAATTCAACCGAATGAGAGCGATGCGACTTATGGCTTTGGAAGATTGTGTACTTTGGAAAACCGGATAACTGTGGACGAAGCGGTAAATTTAGTAAAGCAACGAACTAATCTGAAACACGTAAGATTAGCACGTGCACGCAATACAGGTGAAATCTTAGTGAAAACAATTTATTTTTGAACCAAGAGATTAAGCTTAATGGGTAATGTAAATATAATTATTGTTATTGTTGCATTTTAGATGGTTATATTAATACTGTTGCGGTATGTGCCGGAGCGGGCACATCGGTATTGAAAGGAACATTTGCGGATTTATATCTTACGGGAGAAATGTTGCATCACGATGTACTGGATGCTATACATCTTGGAATTCACGTTATATTAACAAATCATTCTGATTCAGAACGCGGTTTTTTAAAGGTCCTCGCTCCGATGTTGGAACATCAATTTCAGAACTTGGTCGAAGTTCGCGTCTCTGAAAGTGATAAGGATCCACTGCAAACTATATAAGTTATTACTTTGAAGAAATATTCATCAAGTATGTTGATATATTTGATAATGATAATAATTAATAATTGATAATGAAATTAATAATAATAATATGTAAACATTATTTTCGAAAAAGAATTATTTATTTTTAATATCATATATTATTTCGATTTATATTTTAATCCGGAATCATATTTATGTATGTAATATATATCAAAGTGATAATACAAAAGGGAAACATATTTTTTTCTTTATTTTATGAATATTATTGAATATTTTAGGTAGCATTAATTTTGTTTTGATTAATAACACCAGAAGCGAAATAAAAAAGGAAAGGTGTTTTTTTTAAATCTTATCACATCAATCGCATTTCATTTAATGGTGATTGAATATTAAATGGAATAGTAAAATTTTTACGATGGGAATAAAAAGAAAGACCTGTTTCTTTTTTTTTTATTTAGTATCCCGTACATTTTATCTTAATTAAACTTTAATTTTGAAATTTATTCCGTGATATTTAATGTTGATTAAAAGATTATGTACAAACAAGATTTTAACTAAGAAACTATGGCTCTCTCTCTCTCTC